TTGCTGGTTGTGACTGAATCGTGTCCTGTGTGGGTGAACCCAGGTGGTGGGGCCCCTACTGTCGGTGGCTGCACGTTTCAGTCGTTGCCACATTGTGGTGTTTGGTGATCAGTGCTGCCGGGCACTGCAGTGGGCAAGTTCCTGTTTGCTTCCTACCTTCCCTTCTTCCTGGTGTGCCTGCGGGAGTGGCACGTGGCACTTCGGTGCTGGTGTCCACAGTGGCTGCGGCCTTTTGCATCCCCTCCCCCCAGCAGTGGGGACACCCATCTTCTGTAAGCCCTTTCTCAGCACTGGCAGGCCATATGGTGCCCTTTAAACAGCTCGGTCCCACTGGGGAGGTCATGGAGAAATGGGAAGCCTCATCCATTGCCGATAGCCCACGGTCATGGGGCCCATTCTGACTCACAATGGTCCTGGAGAGTTTCCGGGGCTGTAAATCTGTCCGGAAGCAGGCAGCCTCACTGTTCTCCCCTGGAGCGGCTGGTGGGTTTGAACCACTGACCTTACGGTGAGAAGCCTAATGTTTACCCGACGGCGCCCCCAGGACTCCTTAAGCCACCGGGGCAGGGATGTGCAATGGGGACATCCATCTTCTGTAAGCTCTTTCTCAGCACTGGCAGGCCACATGGTGCTCTTTAAACAGCTCGGTCCCACTGGGGAGGTCATGGAGAAATGCGAAGCCTCATTTTAGGGATGAGGAGCAGTGAGTGGGGGAGCCCCTATCTCTTGGTTCCATTTTCCCATGGACTTTTTGAAGACCACCCCAACCCGCTCTTAGGCCCCAAAGACTTGAAAGCTGAGACTGGAGCGCCGATCTGTGGCCCAGCACTCACCTCAACCCTGGTCAGTGGCCCCTGGTGGAAAGCACCCCGATGTCCTCCCGCCAAGAAGAGGCTTTATGAGTGGGCACTGTTTCAGCCTCGTTCTGGGGCAGTCATGGCCCCAGGCCACACAGCAGAGCAAGACCCACATCTTTTGGGGGGGCCTCCCAGAGCCACTCCCACAACAGAACTCACCCCTGTGGGCGACTCCTGGTGAACCCTGGTCTCCCAGCGCAGTGCCGCTCAGTCAGCACGTGTTTGCTGAGCACCTGCCCCTGGCCGGGAGCCCCTGAGGGCACAGACTAGCTCGGCTGCTCACCCAGAGGCACCTTGGAAGAAAGGCCTGGTGGCAAATTCTACACATTCAGCTATTGGAAGCCTTGTGGGGTACAGTTCGACTCTGACATACTTGGGGTGCCACAGATGGGAGTCCTGTTGGTCCCTCGGTAGGTGGCGAGGGTGACAGACGTGGAGACCTCAGTCTTGGGGGTGAGGACCTGGCTCGAGAAGGCCCTGTGGGTATCGGGAGGACTGTGTTCACAGGGTTTTCATGGCGACTTTCATGGAAGCAGACCACCAGGCCTTTCTTCCTAGGGCCCTTGGGTGGCCTGGAAGCCTCCACCTTTTGTTTGATGGCCGAGAGCGGGCACTGTGTCCACCCCCAGGGCTCTGAGGGTCAAGTGGATGAGAACAGTGATCCTGCATGCTATGGGCAAAGGCCGGGGCCACCTGAGCCCCGAGCAAGGGTCATCGGTGACCGCCTCCTCCCCCGCCCCTGCTGTGTGTCTCTGTCACTTCAGTTCATGTCCAGCTTGGGGAGAAGGGTGGGGCCTGATGGTTCCATGTGAACTTCCCACCCCTACCTTCTCCCTACACCCCAGAAACAAGCCAATGATCTGGTGGCCACGCTGAAGAGGTGCACGCCCCACTACATCCGCTGCATCAAGCCCAACGAGACCAAGAGACCCCGAGACTGGGAGGAGAGCAGGTGGGCTCCCACCCCAGGACCAGCATGGACCCTCCCAGGGCCCTGGGACCCCTCCCAGAACTGACCTCAGCCGGATCTAGAACCACACGGTCTCCTGGGGACCCAGCAAGGGATGTCTAGGACTGAGCAAAACCCCAAGACCCAGGGATGACCCCAGACCCACTGTAGGGTGGCCAGACACTAGCACAGCCCCCAACTCCCCAGAGCCTCCAAAGGGACCAACAGGATAAGCCCTGGCTCTATTCCCAGTCCCTGACTCCCAGGCTGGCCCTGGACACCAGCCCCTAGGACAGTGGTTCTCAACCTTCCTAATGCCGTGACCCTTTAATACAGTTCATGTTGTGGTGACTCCCCCTAACCATAACATTATTTTCCTTGCTACTTCATCACTGTCATTGTGCAACTATTATGAATCGGGCTACATTCGATCCCCAGAGGGGTCGAGACCCACAGGTTGAGAACTGCTGCCCTAGGAACTCAACCCACACAGGTGCAGATCCCAGACCCGGGTCTTCCCACCCCCAGCAGCAAAAACCCTCAGGGACTCAGGGTCCTCCCCCTGCGCCCCCGCCGACAGCACCCACTCTCAGGGATCCAGACTACCTTCCCCACAGCACTCTCCCTAAGGAACTCAGGCTGCCCTCCCACAACGCCCACCATCAGGGGCTCAGGTTCTCTCCCACCCCACACCCTGCAGGGTGAAGCACCAGGTGGAGTACCTGGGCCTGAAGGAGAACATCAGGGTGCGCAGGGCGGGCTTTGCTTACCGCCGCCAGTTCTCCAAGTTCCTGCAGAGGTGAGCCAGGTGCGCCCCGCCCCGCCCCACCCCCGGGCCCACTAGCCCCCCATCTGCTTCACCCCCTCCGCATGGCCCTCTGCCTTCAGGTACGCCATTCTGACTCCCGAGACGTGGCCCCGGTGGCGCGGGGACGAGCGCCAGGGCGTGCAGCACCTGCTGCAGGCGGTGAACATGGATCGAGACCAGTACCAGATGGGCAGCACCAAGGTCTTCGTCAAGAACCCCGAGTCGGTAAGAGTCGTCGGACGGGCAGACGGCGCTCTCATGGGCCCGAGTCCCACTCTCAGGGCTCTGGGAGACTCGGGGGGCTCCCTGGCTTCTCCAATCCTCGGTTGCCCTGTTTGGGACATGGGAGGGCTCCAAGGCGGACCCCTGCAGGGCCTAGTTGGACCCCAGCAGGAACCCCTGAGCCCAACAGGTTTCGAAGATTCTGAACTAACTTCAACAGCACCTGACAGTAACCGTCTGCGCAGCCACGTTCATGGTTGCAAACCTGTGCTCGTGCCGTCCTCCCCACAAAACGACCTCTGCTCTCCTGCACTTGTTAGTGACCTCGCGTACCTTGAGACGGTGGCATCATGACCTTGGTCAACCTGTATGCACTTCACCCACATTCAATGTGACCTTCTCTCGTCACCAGACACAGCGGTCTGCTAGTCCAAGAGTGCTGTCCCCTCCTCCCCCGCCGCCGTCACCACCAGAGTTCCCGTAGATAGATGTCTCCTCTTGGGATCGACTTATTTCACTCAGCGGAATGTCCTCCAGGTTTCTGCACCTTGTGTCTGAGGACTATCGTCATTCTCTGTGGGCGCCAACCTCAGAACCATCGTGAGGATGATGCAAGGCCAGGCGGTGTTTCATTCTGTTCCGACACGGGCTCGGAGCAGACTCGACAGCATCTAGCTGCCACCACAGCAGCGGTCGGCCATTGTAGGTGGTCGTTACTGTTGCTGGTTTTCTGGCCATCGAGTCGGTTCCAACTCATAGCGACTCTACGCACAAGGGAGCAAAACACGGCCCCTCCTGCACCGTCCGCACAACTGTGGCCGAGCCACTGTGTCCATCCATCTCATCAAGGATCTTCCTCTTTTTCTCTGCCCCCTCTCTCCACTTGACCAACCAGAATGTCCTTCTCCAGGAACTGGTCTCTCCCGACAACATGTCCAAAGTCTATGCAAGACGAAGTCTTGACATCTTTGTTCTAAGAAGTGCTCCGGCTGCACTTCCTCCGACACAGATTTGTCTGTTCTGTTGGCAGCCCGCGGTACTTTCAATAGTTTCTGACCGTGCCCCAACTCAAGCCTCTCAGTCTGTTGGTCTTCCTTCTTTGCTGCCAGTTTTCACATGCGCAGGAGGCAGTGTGGCGCCCTGTACCGTGGTTTGGGTTAGGCTCACCTTAGTCCTCAGAGGGACATCTAGCTCTTTTGCAGATTTACCCCATGAGGAAAGTCGTTTGATTTCATGACTGCTGCTTCCATGAACGTTGATTGTGGAGCAAAGTCAAACTTTTCCTTGACCCTTTAAATCTCCCCTCCGTTTATCATGATGTCTGGCTATTGATCCAGGTGTGAAGATGTTGCCTTTTTGTTTGACAGTGAGTTGCAGCCCACACTGAAGGCGGCAGTCTCTGGTTTTCAGCCGCAAGTGCTTCGAGTCCTGCTGGCTTTGAGCAAGCAAGGTTGTGTCATCTGCCTATCGCAGCTGTTAATAAGCATTCTCCAATCCTGATGCTGCCTACTGCTTCACTGGGTCCAGCTTCTCAGAGTATTTGCTCAGCAATAAGACTGACTAGGTAAGGGGGAAGGATACAACCTGACTCACCCCTTTCCTGGTTTTAAACCATGAGTAATCCCTTGTTCTGCTTGGATGACTGTACAGGTTCTGCATGAGCATGAGGAAGGGCTCTGGAATTCCCATTCCTCCCAAGGCTATCCATAGTTTGTTACGATCCACACAGTTGAATGCCTTTGGTTCTTCAAGGTAACAATAGAAAGCATCTTTCTGGTATCCTCTGCTTTCAGCAAAGATCCATCTGACACCAACAGTGATACCCTTGTCCCACCTCTTCTGAATCCAGCTTGAGTGCTTGCTAGCTCCCCGTCAATGGACTGCTGCAGCCCTTTAAACTTTATCTTCGGCAAAGTTTTACTCGCGTTAGCCATTAATGAATTGTTCGATACTTTACACATTGCATTCGGTTGCCTTCCTTTGGAATGAAAACATTGTGGATGTTTTCCAGTCAGTTGGCCAGGTCGCTGTCTTCCAGACTTCCTGGCATGAGGTAAGTGCTTCCAGTGCTGCACCAACTTGTTGAAACATTTCCATTGGTATTCCATGAATCCCTGGAGTCGTGTTGCTGGCTAATGCCTTCAGTGCAGCTTAGTTCTTGAATCATATGATGCTACCTCTTGAAATGTTGGGATGTTGACCAATCTTTTTTTTTTTTTTTTGACCAATCCTTTTGGGTGCAGTGACTCTGTTCCTTCCATCTTCTTTGGATGCTTCCTACCTCATTCAATGTTTTGCCCAAAGAATCCTTCAATATTGCAAATTGAGGTATGATTTTCCCCCCTGCCTCTGTTCTTTCCACTTGAGACATGCTGAGCATGTTCTCCCTTTTGGGGTTTCAAACTCCAGGACTCTGTCTATTTCATTATACAGTTTTACTTTGTCTTCCTGATCTGTCCATTGAAATGTTCTGTTCAGTGCTGTACTTCGCCGGTTCTTCCCTTGGCTCCAGCTACTCTATGCTCAAGAGCAAGTTTCAGAGTCTCTCCTGACATCCACTTTGGTCGGTGCTTTTCTTTTTGCTTTTTAATGACCTTTTGCTTTCCCCGTGTACGATGTTCTTGATGCCACCTCACAACTCATCAGGTCCTCTGTTCAATGCATCAATATCTTCTTGAGATGTTCTCTACTTTCAGGCAGGAGCTCCTCAAGGCTGTGTTTTGACTCATATGGACTTGATTTTCCTTTAACGTAGACCTGAACTTACATGTGAGCAACTGATGGTCTGTTCCACAGTCAGGTGCTGGCCTTGTTTCGGTTGGTGCTATCGAGCTCCTGCATGAACTCTTCCCAAAAAAGGAGTCCATTTTATTTCCGTGTATGCCATCTGGTGAGGTCCACGTGTATACATGCCATTGATGTTCCTGATGAACAGATTGGCAATGACGGCATTGGCTTTGCAAAATTCTATCATGAGCTCTCCATTTCTATCACTCGGGCCATAGTTTCCAATTACTGATCCTTCCTCTTAGTCCCCAACTTTTGCATTCCAGTGGCCAATACTTTCTTGATTGTATGTTTGACCACTTTCAGACTGAGGAAGCTGGTAGGATTTCCCATTTCTTCATCGGTAGCTTTAATGGCTTGTGAGTAAATTTGAAGAGCTGCATTAACCGGATTCCTTGCTAGGTACATAGATATTATTCCGCCACAGACGGCACTGTCCTTCAGCATAGATCTTGAAGTGTCTTTTGGTGATGACCAGGACACCACTCTATTCAATGTGTCATTCCCGGCATAGTAAGCCATATGATCATCTAATTCAAAATGTCCAGCTATCCACTCATGTCAACTCAAAGATGCCAGGAATATGGGTCTTTTATGAAGTCAATTTCATTTTTGACTTCAAATTTTCCTGGATTCATACTTTGTGCATTCCGTATTCTGATTATCCATGGATGCTTGCAGCCGCTTTGTCTGGGGTTGTGCCACATCAGCAAAGCAAGGTCCCAAAGGCTTTACTCCATTCACATCATTCAGGGGTACTGGACATTAGGAAGGCAGCTCTTCCCTCGTCATGAAGATCTTCCAATGTGAGGGGTTCATCTTCCAGCATGCTTAACAGACCATGTTCTATGGCTATTCATAAGGTTTCCGTTTCTGCTCCCTCAGACATGGGCAGACCCTTCCTTCTTCTTGCCTGCACTTATTCTGGACGCTCCTCTGACATCTGTCCACCATGGAGGAGCCCACGGGTATTTAAAATGCCAGTGTGCCAATCCAGGTTGACTAGAGAAACAAATCCAGAAACACTCATGTGTGTAAGAGAGAAGTTTATATCAAAGAGCAGTTATACATTAAGAAAACATCCCAGCCCAGTCCAGATGTAGTCAAGTCTGATATTACCCCATATGTTGATATTAGTCCGGAAATTCCTCTTTAGACTCACATAGTCATGCAATGACGCTGGATGCAGGAAGATCACAGGCCAGTGGGTGGACAGTCGTGTGGATCCAGTGGTGGTGGAAGCATCTCAGCACTGGCGTGGGTCTCCATGGGGCTCCTCCAGCTTCAGGGATCTGACTCCATCAGTGTAGCTCCATGTGACTTGTCAACAGAAAGGGGTAGCAGAGAGTGTGTCTGGCCTCCAGTGAGCTATTTATCTCTGTGGCACCTCCAAATGAGGTCATCAAGCTGCGACCTGATTGACAGGCTAGACTCCACCCCTTTGCAAGTTGACAGCAGATGATGTCACTGCCATAGCCAGTGACCTAACTTCCAGCATCTCAACAGCATGCAAGCCACCACAGTGACAGACAAGTGTGTTTGGTGTATTCTTTCACTCATCGGTGGGTCCTTGGGCTGTTTCACCTTTTTGCTATTGTGAATAATGCCACCATGACCATGGTGTGCCCAATGGCCACTCATGTTTCTTATTAGGTCTCAAGGGTGGGGTTGCTGGATCCTAAGTTATTTCTCTTAAGGTATTTCTGTTTACAGCTTTTTTGAGGAAGTGCTAGACCATTTTTTCTATCATGGACACACTATTTTTTTTAAATCATTTTATTGGGGCTCATACAACTCTTATCACAATCCATCCATATATCCATTGTGTAAAGCACATCTGTACATTCATTGCCCTCATCATTCTCAAAACATTTGCTCTCCACCCAAGCTTCTGGCCTCAGCTCCTCATTTTCCCCCTCCCTACCCACTCCCCCCGCTCCATGAACCCTTGATAATTTATAAATTATTATTTTGTCATATATTACACTGTCCAATGTCTCCCTTCACCCACTTTTCTGTTGTCCATCCCCCAGAAAGAGGTTATGTGTAGATTCTTGTAATCCGTTCCCCCTTCCCACCCCACCCTCCCTCCACCCTCCTAGTATTGCCCCTCTCAGCACTGGTCCTGAAGGGATCATCTGTCCTGGATTCCCTGTGTTTCCAGTTCCTATCTGTACACTGACACACTACTTTTTAACCCCACCAGCAGCAAGTAAGGGTTCCAATCTACCCATATCTTCACCAGCAGTTACTGTTTTCTGCTTTGAGGTTTTTTTGTTTTGTGTTTTCAACCAATGACATTTCTGCAGGGCTGTGTTTTAATGGCTTCTAAGACACATGCTGGTTCCCATTTCAAAACACCTCTGAAAGTGGGGGGTGCCTCATATGGAGTTCATGAGCTGGGTGGGGGAATCATGAAGTTGGCCCCTTGGGAGTCGATAGCCATGATGATTTTTTAACCCGGTCGGCCAATTAGAAGTCTTCCAGCAAGCTAAAGTAAGGTGATTCTGAGCAAAAGTTACAAACGGAACCTGCAAGGTGGAGCCTATCAAACCAGTGAAAGTGTACAAAAAATACTAGAAGAAAAGCGCTGGGTGCCACTTCAAACTCTCCTCCTGGCATGTAGTGACTGTGGGCCAGAGAGCTGCAGGTTTTATTGGGCCCTTCTCCTGAATGTTGACCTTCTTCTAAGGGGTTTTCCTCTAGATCTTGTGAGCATCATAGGCAATAGCAGTAAATAGCCCTGGTGGTGCTGCCAGGTAAGCATTGGACTGTGAATGCAAGGTTGACCGTGCACACCCATCAGCTATTCTGCAGGAGCAAGATGAGACTACCTGCTCCCATAAAGAGCTCCATCCTCAGAAATTGTATCGCAGCCTTTCGGATGGATTACAGCTCCATGTAAAGAAAGCAAGCAATCCTCACCACGAACCAATAGGGGACATCATAATAAACGGAAGAAAAGGTGGAAGTCACGGATTTCATCTTGCTTGGAATCACAAGTGATGCTCGTGGAAGTAACAGTCAAGAAGTCAAACGATGCGTTGCATTGGGCAAATCTGCACAAAACCTCTTTTAAAGAATGCAAAGAACAGGGGTGTCACTTCAATGATTAAGATGTGCCTAACCCAAGCTATGAGATTTTCAATATGCATATACAGCAGGAAAATGAAGCCTTCTATTCCCATAAAGAGTTACCGCCTTGGAAACCCACGGGGCCAGTTTGACCCTGTCCTATAGGGTCACTATGGGTTGGCATGGCTTCAATCGATGGCATTGAGTTTGGTTTTCTATATAAGTGAACGTTGACATTGAATAAGGAAGACCCAAGAAGAGCCGATACATTTAAACTGTGCTGCTGGCAGAGAGCCTCGGAAGTGCCGTGGGCCGCCCAAAGGACAAATCCATCTGTCCTGGAAGAAGTACAGCCAGAGTGCTCCTTAGAGGCAGGAAGGGTGAGATGTGGTCTCACGTACTTTGGACATGTGGCCAGGAGGGACGGGTCCCAGGAGAAGGACATCGTGCTGGGGAAAGCAGAGGGGCACCGGAAAAGAGGAAAGAAGGCCCTCAGGGAGACGGGCTGCCACCGTGGGCTCAGTCATAACAACAGTTGTGAGCGGGCAACAGGACTGCAGTGTGTTTCATTCTGTTGTACATGGGGGTGGGGTGGGGGCTGTGGGTCAGAATGGGCTGGACGCCACCTATCAATATGGGTCCAGTGCTTCCGAAAGGTCACAGCCGTGACAATTCGATGGAGCCCAGTTCTACTCGGAAACACAGAGGGTCTCCATGAATTGGAATCATCTCAGTGGCAATGGGTCTGGGCTGGTTTGGGTTTGTTTAAGGTCCTTTGGAAAACTACTGACCCTATGAGGCGTTGTTGGGTGCCACTGAGACCATCCCAACTCACAGTACCCCATGGGACAGAGTACACCTCCCCTGTTAGGGTTTTTCCTGGCTGTTGTCTTCCCAGAAGCAGCTCACCAGGTTTCTCTCCCCGAGAGCTACCAGCGCTCCTCCCCCATGCGGTGTGTTTCATTCTGTTGTACATGGGGGTGTAACGCAGAGCCAACCATCAAAACCCCACGGCCCCTGGGTTCCTTCTCCCACTGCTTTGTCTACTTCCTCCTCTGGACTCTCTAACCCAATGCCTTGACCACCCGGAACTCACAGACAATGCCTGATACTATGGGGTTTATTAAGGAAGTTAATAAGTTACAGTGCAGGTGAGAAATGCTCAGGATTCCATCGGGATGTGTTACCAAGTTCCTTCAGGGCTGCCAATAAATGCCCAAAGGACATGCCACTCCCCTGTAAGCCTCAACCCGAAGGTGTTCAGTTCAAAAGCATCAGGGTTGGTGAAGTCATCTCCCTGAATTAAGTGCACAGAAACACCACACTCCACAGCCAGCCTCCTGTCCCCCAAGCACTCAGCTTTCCTTGGTCTCTGGGCTGGAGGTCCACTGCTCTGTCTCACGCTCCGGCTCCTGATTCTGCTGCTGCTGCTCTGGCATCACAGCTGTCTGCTGGATCCAGGAGGCTCACTGCACAGGGGTCTGGGGGTCTGGAGGACTCGTGCCACCTCCTGGTTCTGGCTGGTAGTGAGATGACCCCTCCTGCTTCTCAGAGGGCTTGTTTGATACCCACCAGGATGTCCATCCCCATGAGTCCTGTTCACAAGCACTCAGGTGGATCCTGTCAGCGTCTCCCGCACCTTCTTACCCAGGCCCAGGCAGGAAAAGGTGGTTTGGTGGGAGTCACCAAGACTGGCTGCAAGAGCCACATGAAGTGATTCGCTGCCCCTGCAGGCACCAAGTCCAGTCCAACTTGTGGTTGCACTGTGGGTTAAGCATTGCACTGCTAATCTGCAAGGTCAGCAGTGGGAACCCACAGGCTGCCCAGCAGGAGGAAAAGGAGGCTGGCTGCCTCTGTAAGGATCACAGCCTAACAAACCCCTTGCCGCAGTTCTACTCTGTCCTACAGGGTCACCATGGGTCCTGTGAGGTAGGTGTTGTGCTTTTAGAGATGGGAAACCGAGGCCCAGAGCTGTCAAAGCCTCGTAGCTAGTGTCAGAGCTGAAGAAAGCCCAGGGCAAGCCCACAGTGCCCTGGAGAAGTCCTGGGTCCACTGACAGAAGGCAAATGCATTCAGACCCAGGTAGGACTGTGCACCCATGCAGGTGTGTGTGAGCAAGCAAAGTGTGGATGGGTGGGTGGGAGGCCCCGGGAAAGGGCGCCTCAGGCCCCTGGGGAGACTCCAGCCCTCTGCACCTCTCGCCCCTAGCTTTTCCTCCTGGAGGAGATGCGGGAACGCAAGTTCGACGGCTTTGCCCGCACCATCCAGAAGGCCTGGCGGCGTCACGTGGCAGTCCGGAAGTACGAGGAGATGCGGCAGGAAGGTGAGGTCGGCGGGAGAGGAGCGGGATGGGCCCGGAGGAGCTGTACACTGTCACCAAACTCCCTGACGAGGGCGGGCCACAGTCACCGAGCCGTGCTCCGTGCCCCCTAACAGCCTCCAACATCCTGCTCAACAAGAAGGAGCGGCGGCGGAACAGCATCAACCGCAACTTCGTCGGGGACTACCTGGGGCTGGAGGAGCGGCCCGAGCTGCGGCAGTTCCTGGGCAAGCGCGAGCGGGTGGACTTTGCCGACTCGGTCACCAAATACGACCGGCGCTTCAAGGTGAGACACTGGCAGGTGGGCCAGGCCAGCCCCTGGCACAGCTGCACCATCACCTGCTTCAGACTCATCCGTCCATAGGTCTACAGGAAAATGAGCCCAGATAAGAACTGTCCATCAACTATGCCTTTAACTATCCTAAATACCTCTGTCCCTTGGATGCACCTTTTACCTGGCCTAGACACCTTATCCAGGGGTATACACACCTACCCTAGATATGCCTATCCCACCACAGGTACACCAACATTTATCAACCTAGATAAGAACTGTTTGCCAAATATGCCTTCACCTAACCCAAATACATCCAGCAGATACATTGGACACAGATACCTGGCCCAGACACACCTGTCTACGAGTACACATTCATCTTGCCCCAAAGACCTCACCTATGCTGGACACACCTATCCAACAGGTACATCCTCACCTAACCTAAATACACTTGCCAATCAGCTATGCCTTCGCTCAGCCCAGATAGATCTCTCCACAGGTATGTTCACCAGTTCCAAGCAACCTCTTCCACAGGTACAGGGCCAAATGACCCAGAACTGATCACAAGTTGGTCTACACCATTCTGTCCACAGACATACCCCCATCAGACCCATACATAGTGACTTGGTTAAACAGCTAGATGCCCTCACCAAAGATCTATCCACACCTGGTCCTGATAGTCCTGACCCCAGGTATGCTCGGCTCACCTGGCCAAGATACCTCTGTCCACAGTGCACGCATACCTGAGCTGTATCCCCTCACCTGGACTTGACATCTGGGCATGCCCACCACAGCTCTGTTCTCACCTGGCTCTAACACTCTTCCCCGCCAGGTACACCCTCACTCAACCCACAGTACTTACTACTCACATCCAAGGCACTGAGAGCTCTCTGATGGGTTATCAAGGTCACCTGCAGATCTTCACCTGGATGGACACACATTGTCCGCCTGCCTTAGGCAAGTTTATGTGGGAGGTACACACTCCCCTGATTATCATACCTTCTCACCTGGAGTCTGCCAGATACACCCTCATCTGAGGTGTACACCCTCACCTGTCCCAGAAATACCACATCTGTACAACCTCACATCCCAAATGTCCTTATGAGGCCTGGCTACCTTCACCTGGCCCATACACATTCACCTGCTTTGGACAGGTGTCTGTGGCAGGGACCCCTCAGTTGACCTGTAGCGGATCACCTGGTAGACATTTTCAGCTAGACATGGATTCCCACTGGACCCAAGCACCCCTGACTGCAGGTCCACCCTCTGCAAACTTGCAAAGATCTTCCCTGGGCCCAGACACCACCTTCCATCAGTTGTACCTTCACCTGCCAACACATACCTGCTCCTTACTCCCTCTCACGGTGCAAGTACCTGGGCTCTACATCTTCACCTGAACCATACACTTTCATGGGTTCCCGGTACTTTCATCTGCTCCAAGCACTCTCATCTGGCCCAGGGAACACTGTCGTCTTACCTGCACCTGATCACTGTCCCAGACACCTATTTCTAGCCAATATCCCTTCCCTTCACCTGGTGGCGTAGGGAGTTACCCATTGGGCTGTTAACCACAAGGTCGGCAGTTCAAGCCCACCAGCCACTTCACAGGAGAAAGATGAGGCTCTCTGCTCCCATCAAGGTTTACAGTCTCAGAACTGGCAGGGGCCGTGTACTACTCTGTTACAGGGCCACTGTGAGTCGCAAATTGGCTTGAAATTAAGAGATCGTGGAATTTTCCCACACACTCTTTAAAGCCCTCTCGTACCTTCAGCTGAAGGGGCACTGTTACCTGAGCCACACGCCCCATTCAGCCCGCATACATTCACCTAACCTGCACACACTGTCACCTGATCCGTCAGCCCCACTGCTCTGTCCGGTGCTGACCCACAGAGGACAGGCTGCCTGGGCCCAGGGCTCCAGCCATCAGCCTGTGGTCTCCCCTCCCACAGCCCATCAAGCGGGACCTGATCCTGACCCCCAAGTGTGTGTATGTGATCGGGAGGGAGAAGGCGAAGAAAGGGCCGGAGAAGGGCCAGGTGCGGGAGATCCTGAAGAAGAAGCTCGAGCTCCCAGCCCTGCGGGGAGTCTCCCTCAGGTGAGGTCAGCTCCCCACTGGTCCCACAGTCAGCCTCCCCTGCCCCCTTCATCCTGAGCAATACCTGTCACCTTCTCTTGACACTGTCATTTCACCTGTGAGTGCACTTGTGACCATTAGTTGGCAACAACTTTCTGTCCCCTCACTGTTCCTTAACTAGATGTCACTGGCCTTAATCGCCACCGTTCTTTGTCCCTTGCCACCTCTCCCTCTTTCCCTGGCTTGTGTCACTTGTTCCTGTTGCACCTCACGTGCATATTCCGCAGCCATCCTCACTTGTAGCTTACCTGTCATTATCACCTGCCTTACCTGTCACCCTCACCTGGGCCTCCTGGTCACCCTCATCTGCCTTTGCCCGTCCCCAGCACCCGGCAGGACGACTTCTTCATCCTTCAGGAGGATGTGGCCGACAGCTTCCTGGAGAGCATCTTCAAGACCGAGTTCGTCAGCCTCTTGTGCAAACGCTTCCAGGAGGCAGCAGGGCGGCCCCTGCCCCTCACCTTCAGCGACACGTACGGCCCCCCCGCCACCACCGCCAGCATCCCCGGGGGCGGCACGGGCTGGTCTGACCACAATGCTCCCCATGCCCTCCCCGCCCCACAGACCAGAGCCCACCTGTGCCTGTACCGTCCCCCACCCCGACTCAAGGCACTGGGGAAGGGGCCCTGACCGGTGCCCTCACGGCTTCCTCCCCTCCCCACAGACTACAGTTCCGGGTGAAGAAGGAGGGTTGGGGCGGGGGCGGGACCCGCAGCGTCACCTTCTCCCGTGGCGTGGGTGATGAGGCTGTACTCAAGGCCAGCAGCCGGGCTCTCACTGTCAGCGTGGGCGACGGACTGCCCAAGAACTCCAGTGAGTCTGCGTGGGACTGCGGGGCGGAGTCTGGGAGAGGCAGGGACCGGAGAGGTGGGGACAGGGTGGGAGCCAATCAGGGTTGTGGGCGGGGCCAGTGAAGCTGATAGCGTAGACGAAGACCCTAAAGTGACCAATGAGTGGCCAAGATGTGAAGGGGGCGTGGTCAGATTCAATGAGGCGAGCCAATGGCAATAAGGGCTGGTCCCTGTGGGGGTGTGGCCATTAGTAGGTGGATCCAGGGTTCTATTTAGAAACTGAGGGTTTGTGTGGACTTGATAAAGCGGGGTGTGAGTGGGCGGAGCCACAGGGAGGGCTGAACAGCCAGGGAGACCAAGCGCTAGGGCCTTCTTAACCCACCCACCCCAAATCCCTACCCCTTACCCCCTTCAGAGCCAACGCGGAAGGGACAAGCCCAAGGAAAACCCAGAAGGGCAGCTCCAGCCCCTGCCCGGGCAGCCCCGGGGCCCTCCAGAGGTGAGGCGCTCCCTGCCCTCCAAAGTGTTTTCTGCCTCCTGTGGGCCCATTGCCTAAGCTAGACCTTTAGTCCATGGGGATCTAGCAAGCCCAGCGGCCAGGACTCTCCAAGGCTCACCATTGCCTGCAGGCTAGTGCTCAGCTCACCTACCTCTCCTCTCACTCTGCCCTCCTGTATGCAGGCTACATATTAATTTGCCAACTGAACACGTGTTCTTGTGTTCTTCTCTCCGGATCTTTGCTTGGGCTGTTCTCTGCCTAAATCACCACTTCCCACACCACTTACTAGGCTCCTATTCATCCTCCAAGACCCATCTACAAAAGCCCTCTTACTGAGGGGCAAAGGGGGCTTCCTCCTGAAGAACTTTTCTAGTCCTGGGTTCCTCCCTATGGCCCAGTCCTCACTGTACTGGGTGGAGGGAAGTGGGCGCCTCCTCTCTGACTGGGGACTCAAAGCTGGGCCCTCCCACCATCACCCTGATCAACGTTCCCACCTTTGCTCCCACCATAGGCATGAGTCCCAATGGGGTGCCACCCTCTGCCAGAAGGGGCCCCAACCCCCTGGAGCTCACAGCTATGCGGGGCTCCCAGCGGCCTCCCCAAGGCCCTCCAGCTTCCACACTGGGGGCCAACAGACGCCCCCGGGCCCAGACTCCCTCAGAGCACAACACAGAATTCCTCAACGTACCTGACCAGGGTGTGGCCGGGTAGGTAGGGGTCTCCTGGAGGTGGGCAGGGGCCAAGAGCATGTCAGGGGTAGTGACGAGCGCCCACTGTGCCCCCAGCATGCAGAGAAAACGCAGTGTGGGGCAGCGACCGGTGCCGGGCGTGGGCCGGCCCAAGCCCCAACCTCGGACCCACGGTCCACGGTGCCGTGCACTGTACCAGTACATCGGCCAAGACGTGGATGAACTGAGTTTCAACGTCAACGAGGTCATCGAGATCCTGTTGGAAGGTGTGTACCAGCCGGGCCGAGGGAATGTGAACCCTGACAGCCTGGCAGGCCCCCATGACTGCATACCCTCCAGGGGCTAGGCCCTCAGGGCACCCCTCCATTGGACTGCACATGCTGAAAAGTCAGGCTCCGCAGGTCACTGTGGGGACCCAGGCTTCCCTGCACCACACCCAGTGTCCAAGCCTCACAGCAGAGCCCACCTCACAGACCAACCCCCCACCCACCTACCCACCCCTGCAAGAGAAGATGTGTGGTCGGGTCTGGGTGACCCAGGCCACCTTCTATTTTAGTCCCCTTGGCTGCCCCAGAGGTGCCTGGCACCCAATGGCATCCTCTGTAAGTGGATGGAGCCCTGGGTGGGAACAACCACAATCGTTCAACCACTAACCAAAAGGTTGGTAGTTCAAGCCCACCGAGGGGCACCTCAAGAGGATGGCCAGACGACCTGCTTCCAAAAGGCACCGGCCACTGAAAACCCTGGGGAACACTTCTACTTTGGTAAAGGTGGGCTTGCCATGATCGGTCATGCCTCAATTGCCATTGGTCGGTCAGTTGGCTGGCTTTTTGATGGGCAGGTAGAAGGGGAGTCCACCCTGAGGCTTGAGAGTGGGGGAAGGTTATGGGAGAACCTGGATGTAGGAAGACCAACCGAGAGGGAACGTTCTAGAACACAACAGAGTGTATGTGCGTGTCTACCCACGCACCCGTTGACAGCCCTTCAGCGCCTGACCTCAGTCCGGTCATGGGCGTGGAGATGAGTGCCACAGATGCAGGGGTAGCCTCTTGCACCAACGCACGCGCCCTTGCTCCCTCTCTCACAGACCCCTCAGGCTGGTGGAAGGGCCGGCTGCATGGCCAGGAGGGCCTCTTCCCTGGAAACTACGTGGAGAAGATCTGAGCTGGGGCCCGCGACTCTACCTGAACCCCTGACTTCTGGCCAGAGCCGGCCCAGTGATGGTAGCCCTATGGGGGTTGGCCTGAAACCAGCCATGCAACCCTGGGTCTACGGGCCGCTCAGCCCTGCCCGCACTGCAAGCCTACCCCGGGGCCTGGCCTCCCCACTTTCCACCCGCTGCCTGGGCCTCTGCTTCTGCCTGCGTCCAAAGGGGTGGACAGAGGAACCAAGCTCCCAGCTGCCTCGTGATCACTGAGCGATCCGGGTCCCATCAGCGAAGGGTAACCACAGTCGGGACCTTGACGTGCTCGGCCCCGTCTCTCCACCCATCAGGGTGGCAAGAAGTTATTTGCCCCATGAAAGCCAGATAAAAAAATTGATCAATAAACATCTTTAAGTATTTGAACTTACTGAATGCCATCGACAAGGACAAGGGGCTCCTCGCTTTACAACACCCACAATAAGGCAGCATTGTCCCATTTTCCAGGTGGGAATATAGAGGCTCAGAAAAGTGCAGTCCCTTGCCTCAGTCTCCACCTCATCTGATCGCCTCCCTGTAAGACCCAGTCAGCCCCACGTTGCCGTCCAAAAGCCACATTGCACCTTCCTGAAGGAGACCGTCTAGCAGGTGTCTTGGGCCCTGAGTCTGCAGTCCTCAAATCCACCCAGGACCCGCCTATACTCACCTCGGCCCCTATCCCATGTCTCTGCACAACTGGTCCTCTCCTGCATGGGGTGGGACTGACTCTGAGAGCCGAGGAGGGCTGGGTTTTCTGCGCATCCTGTCGTGGATGAAGGAAGTCATCCCTGTTAGGGGTCACCCCACTCATCCCCAAGCCTGACTTGGGAGCTGAATCATCCATGCTTCCTGTGGGGCTCGCTGGGACCCAGGTGTCCTCCCATGAGCTGAACCCATGACCCAGCTCCCCACCAGCGCCCTGTGCTCAGCCCCTTGTGGAGCAGGGAGCCAGCCAAAGACCCTCCCAGCTCCATGGAATTCAGACTGGGGGCAGAGCGGGGCGAGGGGTGCTGAAGGGGACCCTGAAGGCTAGGGGGTGAGGGGAGCTGTTAGTCTATGCTGATCTCAAAATACAACATTCAAGCCACACTACAGCATACCCGTTGTCATCAACCCTCACGAGCTGCAGGGTCGACATGGCAGGAGGCCTGGGGAGCGATGGTTAAGCACATGGTTAAGACCAGGTGGTCACTCCCATTCAGATGGATGACGACGGTGGTTCTGACTCGTGGCGACCCTGTAAGGCCCAGTCCTGCTCCATCCTCCCGATAGGTTCTTCTGTGTGAGCCCATTGCTGCAGCCACTGGGTCCGTCCGGCTTGTCCAGGGCCTTCCTCTTTGTCGCTGCCCCTGCACTTTATCAAACATGATGTCCTTCTCCAGGGACTGGTCTCTCCTGACGACAGGTCCAAAGTGTGTAAAATGCAGTGTCAACATCTTTGCCTCTAAGAAGCATGCTGACGGTACTTCTTCCAAAACACATTTTTTCGTTCTTTTGGTGCTTGTCTTCTCGGCCTTCCTTAGTCAATGTCTAACCTTCACGTGCTTATGAAGAGGTTATCAGTGCTCAAAGTAACCTCCTTGCTTTTCAACACTTGAAAGAGGTCGTCTGCAGCAGATCCACCCAATGCAATGCGCTGTTTGATCTCTTGACGGCTGCTTCCATGAGCACAGGTTGTACACACAAGCAACTTGCATCCTTTTCTCCACTTATCACGCTGCTACCTACTGGTCCAGGTGTGAGGATCTGGGCCTTCTTTACACTGAGTAGTCAGTCATCCATCCAGAAGGCTGAAGTGCCTGATCTAGGTACTGTCAAATCTGTCCAGACCCGATGCAGGTGGAAACCTGTCAGAGAAGGAAAACTCAGATATATCCATTAATCAGAGGCTCGCAGGATGCTAGAACATGGTCAGACAGCACCCTGTCGAAAACAAACTGCAAGGCCCCGATAAACAAGGTGGCCCCATCAAGTCCCAGCCCCCACAGGCTGCACGGTGGGGCAGACGGAAATGCTGCCCGCCCGACCCTCTGTCACCCTCGTCCTTCCCGCAAGCAGCAGTACCTGGGTTGGTTTGACCCATCGACCTCATACTTACCCCACACCACCACCAGTGCACCTAATCCTCGTGCTAGTAGGGCCAGATAGATTCTGGGCGGAAAACCGCAGGTCCGGAGTTCTCCTCTATCTTACGGGGTCAAAGTGCGTTGAAGTCTACTCAACGGCATCCAACGATAATATTTGTGGCAACAGATCACCAGGCCTTTCTTCCGCAGCACGGCTGGGGTGGGGTGGGTTCACCAAGCTCTAGGCTGCCGTGTTTCCCCAAAAGTAAGACATCCCCCCAAAATAAGACCTTACAGTTTTGCCTCTCGCTGAAATATAAGCCACCCCCGAAAATAAGACTCCCCAAAAATAAGGCCTCCCCGATAATAAGCCCCCCCCCCCGAAAGCTACCATAACTCTGGCCTCTGGACCGTAGTGGTGGGAGCTGCCACGCAACTCACTGTTGGGAGTGAGGAAGCAGACAGGAAGTGCAAGGTCTCTTTTAATCAGAGCGCCCACACCGCCACCAGGACAAGCTGCTGCTCGCTTTACCCTGACGGAGTCTGGCTGACTCACAATTAGATGGTGAGTCATGCGGGGCAGGAATAACAAGAAATTCTTGATACTGTAGGATTCAGTTTGTCTGGTTAAGCTTGTTTGTGATGACAACTACTACTGTACCGTATACAGGTAATAAATTTCCTTTTTTGTCGTTCAACAATAAATGTGTACCGTATTCTTCTTCGTGGGAAAATAAGACATCCCCTGAAAATAAGACCTAGCGCGTCTTTGGGAGCAAAAATTAATATAAGACAGTGTCTTATTTTCGGGGAAACAGGATAGTAGCCAAGGGCAAACCACGTGTGCCACCCAGAGATCTACACATGTGACACAGAGGGATGTGGCCTTTGCTGGGGCGACATCCCAGGCAGAGGGCACCTCCCCGAGGAGGGGGAAGACGTCCCAGAAAATGGCTGCTCACCAGAACTTTCTGCAAGGTCTATCGCCACCTCCCTTCTGGAACACTGAGCATGGCTGGGGGCAGAGGGGGACGAGGGGGTTCACAGGGTGGGTGTAAAACAACCTACTCGGGGCTGCCAAGTGGGTGTCCATGACCTTGGCATCGGCTGATCATTTTAAAGAAACTATTGACTATTCCTAGTCCCTCTCGTCTCCGATTTTATTTTTCACTTCTCCGCACTAGGCTGCCATAAAGAGCTAGTCTCAGAAACCCAGCGGCCGGTTTACCTCTCGGTCCTCCAGGGTGGTTTATGAGTTGGAATGGACTCGGGGGCAGTGAGTTGGCTTGGGAAGAATGGCTGTTGCTGACGTGAGCCATGGAGTCGACTCATGGCAGACCCCGCAGGACCGGGTAGAACTGCTGCACAGGGTTTCCGGAGCCGTAACCCTTTACAGAAGCCGACGGCTGCTGCCGGGCTCCAGGGAGCAGCCAAGCACTGAACCGTCACATCACCGAGCTCCCTGAGAGGACCCAGGGCTTCCTTCGCCTCTCTTGCTCTTCACTCCGTCACCCTGACCACTGCCCCCAGCCAGCAACGCTTGCAGCCGGAGCTTCTGCACGGGATCCCTGGTCGCGCAGGGACTGCTAACCGGATGCAAGGACAGCCTTTCCTCGAGAGAAAGCGGGTGCTTTCTACTCCTGGAAAGGACGGTCTCAGAAACCCACCCGTTCTCCGAGTCTCACAGGGTTGCTTGAGTCACAATCGACTCGATGGCAGCGAGTATGGCTTTTTGCTTTGTGAGAACCTCCAAGGGAAGGGGGTGGGTTGCTTGCTGGGGACAGAGAAGGGAGTCGGTTTGCCAGGTCACCTAAGGAGGCCGCAAGCATCTGGCCTCACCTCTAGGTTACAGACAGAAAGCGCTGCAAACCTGAGTCCCCCGGCCAGGCCCCTGCCCCACATCCTGTTGACTGTTTTGCACTCTGTCTCTGCCGGGGCCCCTCCTCTCCCTTCCTAGTCCTGGCCTCGGCTGAGACCTCGCCCCACCTTCCGCGCGCGCGCGCACACACACACACACACCCCCCACCAACATCTCCACAATCTTCATTTTCCCAAATTAAATTGTGAGGTTTTACGGATCCTTTCTGGTAAAAGTGTGTGTGTGTGTGTGTGTGTGTTCCAAACAAGTGAGGTTTTACGGATCCTTTCTGGTAAAATGTGTGTGTGTGTGTGTGTGTGTGTGTGTGTGTTCCAAATAAGTGAGGTTTTACGGATCCTTTCTGGTAAAGTGTGTGTGTGTGTGTTCCAAATAAGAATGCTTACCTCTCACGGTGATTAAAATATCGAAACACAGACATAGCCAAACATTTGCCCACCAACTTCTGTTCTGCACACACACGAGTCAGTGATGCCGACTGCATACATCATGCCTGGCTTGGCGGGGGTGGGGGTAACCAGCTTCTCATGGAATAAAGGATCGTGGGGGGTGGCATGTGTGCCGAAGTTGCACAGGGTTCCGTAGGGGTTGTAAGGTTGTGACCTTTTGGAACCAGGTTGCCGGGTCTTTCTCCTGAGGCACCCCTGGGTGGACTTGATCTGCTAACGTCTCAGTGACTCGTCCAGCGCTGGAACATGTGCGCCACCCACTGACTCCAAATATGGTAACGGGCAAAAATTAGGGTTTTTTCCTTTCTCTTTTTTTTTTTTTAAAGTTAAACAGCACAAAGTGCAAAAAGTCTGTTTCCTTCTTCAAAATCCTCATGCTCTCCCACTTCCTGGTGTCGCCTTCTGATGATGTCACTGCATGTAAAACAGCGCCGAACCTCCATGCGTCTGGGAGTGAACTGCTGCGCTCCTTGGGTTTTCTAGGGCAGCATCCTTACAGAACTCTGGATTCCCCTGACTGCTGCTGCAGTGGACGCTGACGGTGGAGCCACGTACACGGCGATCCTTGACCAGCTTCCACCTTTGCTCCCTCGATCATGATGTTGCCCCAGGCTCCTGTTGTGAGGGTGGGTGGGTTGGTTGGTTTATTGATTGGAATGTTGGAGTGGTGTCCATGTTTTGATCTTCATCGGTAAATATTTCAAGCCCTCTTTGCCTTCAGCCAGGCAGGGTGGTGCCATCTGCATTTCACGCAGCTCGTGGATGAGCCTCCTCCACCCCCACCCCCGATCCTCATGTTGTGTTCCATCAGCGCCATCTTCTTGGGAGTCCAATGCCCTGCTGCAGGGAGCAAACACCATGCAAATGACCTATGTGGAGTGTTAAAAAGAAGTCACCTTGAGGCCCGAAGGGCACCTGACACAAGCTGTGGTTTGTTAAGTTGCTCCCTGTGGACAGGAAAGTTGGACAATGAATAAGGAAGACCAGATAATGATGGTGTTGGCGAAAAATACCGAATATCCCATAGACCACGGGTAGAACGAACACATCTGTTTAGAAGTAGAGCCAGAAAGGTCCGTAGAAGCCAGGAGGGTTAGACTTGTTGTTGTTGTTGCTGTTTGGTGCCATCGAGTTGGTTCCAGCCCATAGCAACTCTATGTACAACAGAACAGAACACTGGCCAGCCCTGCGCCATCCTCACAACGGTTCTTATGTTTGAGCCCAGTGTGGCAGCCACTGTGTCAATGCACCTTGCCAAGGGCCTCTCTCTTTGCCAAGCACGATGCCCCTCTCCAGTCTCTCCTGACATGTCCAAAGTATGTGAGATGAAGTGTCGTCATCCTGGCCTTGAAGGAGCATGCTGGCTGTACTTCTCCTAAGACAGAGTTGTTTGATCTTTTGGCAATCCATGCTACTTTCACTATTCTTGATTATGGCAAGACTTGGTCTCATGGTGGGGGAAAGACAAGGCTTTCTACTCCTGTAAAGAGTTACAGTCTCATAAGTCCACAGGGGCAGCACAACCTTGTCCTAAAGGGTTGCTCCATGACAGTGAATTTGTTTGGGTTTGTTTGTTTTGTTTTCAGTTTTAGTCTCATGTGATCTGGACCTCTTCTCAGGAGGGACCAATTCTTAGAGGGGAAAAAAATTGCTTGGAAAAGCCTAAGATCCACACAAAAAGAGAACTTCAACAAGGTAAAACGACACAGTGCCTACAGTGTAGCAATTTTGAGGATGGTGCTGGACTGGGTGGTTTTTTGTTCTGTTGTACGCCAGGTCACTATGTACACAGAGCGCCAACCCGATGGCACCTCACACAACAGTAACAACAATCTGGACTGAAGTAAATCGCTAGGCCTTTCTTCTGCAGTGCTGCTGCCTGGGTTTGAACTGTCAACTGTTCAGCACAAACTGCTTGTGCTCTCTGCCCGGAATGGAACAGGCACCCCTGGTTCACTTGCAGACAGTGTATTCCAGAGCCCTGACCTTACCCTCAGTCACCCTCCAGAGGACAGCCATGCTGATGTGCTCAGACGGTGTACCTCCCTCTGCTAAAAATCCTTCAAGGGTTACAAGAGGAACCATGCTCCTCCTCTGCCCCCACCTAGGCCCACAGGCCCTGTATGACCAGCCTCTCCTCCCAAGGTGCCTCCAGTCGGGTCCAGCAGAGCATGATCTCAAGTCCTTGAGAAAGACAAGCGTGTCCCTCCGCATCCCCGGACCTTGGTGCCAGCTATCTGCTCTCGCAGGGAAGCTCTGCCATTCTGGCCTTCCTTTGGCTCGCACCTGGCCATTGGAGGACAGCTCCGCTGGCACCTCCTAGAGAGTGGTCCCCAAACAGCACTCCTGTGCCCTTCTGATTCCTGTCTCTGTAGAACCTTCACTATCAGCCTGCTTACTCCAATCCACCAGCTGCTCCTCAGGAGAAAGTTGGCGCTGTTATAGTTACAGCCTTGGGAACCCTAAGTGGGATAGCTCTGGGTTAGAATCCCACTCGAAGGCAGGTTAGATTTTTTTGGGGGGTGGTGGGGTGCTAGTAAGACTAAAATCATTTACATTTGTTTATTGTCCGCCTTGCTTCTTCATGGCCTAGTTCCCATTTTTCAAATGCAAATCTACGAGAGCAAGAAATGTTGTTGAGCTCACAGTAGGCACTTTGGGGGGAATTCTTGAGTGGTCCACTCCACAGCAGGAGGGGAGGGGGGCCACAGGGCTCTGCATCTCTCCAGCTGGAGGCTACATCCAGTTAGACCTTGGTTATTTCAACCCAGCCATGGCAACTTCAGAACTCCAAACCGAGAAACTCTGCCCTCAAGTCGATGCCGACCCTATAGACGGGGTAGAACACTCCTGTGGGTTTTCTGACACTGTAACTCTTTAGGGGGCGTAGAAAGCCTCGTCTTTCTCCCACGCAGCGGCTGGTGGCTTTTAGCTGCTTGCTAAACTCCGATTAGCAGCTAAACGTGTAACCCACGACCGACAGGACTTCCTTAACCTCAGAACTAGGTGCTTTTAAAGTGCTGTCGATTGTTGCCAAGTTCCCTCCAAAGGGAAGCGGGAGAAGAGCAATTGGGGGTGGAGGGGGGTAAAAATAGGGAGAAAGGTTGATGCGTGGTTGAGACTGTTATAAATGCAGAGTTGATGCTCTGAAATATAAATCCACCTAATTCACAACTAAAATTCATTAAAAAAAAAAAATTCCCTCCAAAGAGGCGACTTCAACCAACATGATGACCTCTATAGGAAAAAGACCGCTGTGGGGACCGCCTTTCCAGGGCTGCTGACGGGAAGGAACGAAGGTGCCCATTTTGCAGATGAGGACCTGGAGGTGGGACCCTGCTCACACTCCCTGGAAGGAGCGGCCTTTGATTGCCAGTCTGCAAGAGCTTCAGCAACGCACGGCATCAGGCCCCGCCCCCTCGCTGAGAAACTAACAGACTCCGCTCCTACTCTCGCGAGAGCTCGCAGGGAGGAAAGATGGCGCTGGGGTGAGCGCGCGCCCACACAGCCGAGGAGTCACCGCTGCCGTCTCAGCGGGAGCCGTCTTTGCCCCTCCGGAGCAAGAGATCGAAGGGGTCAAGGATGGTGAGCACGCCGTCGGGGACGCGAACGCAGCGGAGCACCGGGGACAGGCTGGGGAGCGACCCGTCCTGCACGCACACACCCACCTTTCAAGCTGCCCATCCCCACATCCGGGGCACCCAGTCACCCGGCTAGCACGCTACACCTACTTCCGGGCCTGGTTTCGACCGGGCCCTGTCCACAAGGCTCTGACCACGCCCCTAAACTTGACTCCTTTGGGCCTCAAGCACCTCCAAATTAGTCTATATAGCCCAAAGCGAATCGGTGTGGCTCCTTCCTTTAGCCAGCATCTCCCTAATCTAGGCCAGCCTATAGCTCCGCCTATGTAGTCTTTACCCCGCCCACCGCCTAGAAACCACGCCCCCAGGCTGGATATGAGAGGTAGGTTTCCCTGGGAAGAATTCCAGACCAGTACCCAGCCAATCTACTGCACTTGGGACACTGCCCAGCCATAGGGTGAGCATTTAGGAGACGCGAACCACCTTACCTTAGACACAGCCTCTGGGGTTTGGGGTACAGAAGCCTTGGAATGTGGGACACCCCCCACCCCAGCTGGGGCAAGCCTCCCCTGATCCTCAGGCTTTCTGCTCACCCATCCACCAGGAGGAGGAAGAGGAGCCCGTGAGCCTTGACCCGGACTCACCCACCTCAGTCGAGCCCCACTCCAGCGAGCCAGACAAGGAGCTGGTGTCCCCAGAAGTGGCCACGGAGGCCACTGCCTCCATCATGGAGGAAGAGCCAGGCCCTGACTGGCCAGCCACACCCCCAGTGTGGGGACTTGGGGGGCCTGGAGGAGACGGCAGCCAACCCATCCCTGGACCCAGCCCAGGCACAGCCTCCGGGACCAGTGAGGACCTGAGGCCTCCCAGGCGCCGCCCGCCACCAGGTGATCTGTGATGGGGCCGTGGGGAAGGGGGTCACAGACCCTGGGGTCAACCGTAGGCGTGAGGCACGCTAGATGTCTCCCAACGCAGCCCACCCACAGGGATGGCAGCTGCCCCCACCCCCTTCCGAAGCACCAACTGTATGCAGGCCACCCAGCCCCTGCCCTATGTATGGCAGCTCTGCTCAGTCGAGAAGGCAGAATCCCGTGGGTGGGGGTTGCATCGGTGGGGAAGGGATCAGTGACCCCCCCGCTCTGTGTCTTGCAGGGAAGCAAGTGCCCTGCTCCAGTCCTGGCTGCTTCCTCAGTTTCCCCAGCGTGCGGGACCTGGCACAGCATCTCCGGACCCACTGCCCACTCACACAGTCCCTGGAAGGTAGGGCCGGGGCCAGCTGGGGTGGGAAAAGGTGAGCCCGGAGAGCCCCTCCCCGCCATGCCTGGACACCCACCCAGCCCTCTGCCCTCGTCCAGGCAAGCTGTTCCGCTGCTCGGCCCTGAGCTGCGCCGAGTCCTTCCCCAGCATGCAGGAGCTGGTGGCGCACAGCAAGCTGCACCACAAGCCCAACCGCTACTTCAAGTGAGACCCCGCCCACCCGTGGGGGGCCAGCCCGCGCATGTCTACCCACCCGGCCCCAACCCACAGCCACTCCTTGGGGGTCGCAACCTTTCTTGGGTGGGTGGGTTGGTCTGGAGGGGGCACGGTTTCAAGCAAGCCCCGCCCTTACCTGTCTGGAAGAACCCAGCTCGTGGGCCATACATGGGCGTGGCTGCACCCACCTCCTTCTTGGACCACCCAGATAGAAACCCTGCCGCCCAGGGTCCAGGTTGAGACATACTCCTTTCCCGAGGTGTCCTAGAGGGAGGGGCCCGGAGGGATACGGTTGGAAGCGCT